TTTTGTAGGCTACCTAGTGGAGAACTTAGATTTTATCAACCAATACTATGCGTAAGGAAGCTCGAGCTATTTCTTAAGTTAAGAAGGGTCACAGATATCATCGAACCGCCTGGTGGAAACTTGTTCCATTTCGCAGCTTCACGAGGTTTTACAAGTCTCACTAAAGTCAGGAAATTGATGAAACTCTACTTAACCCCCTTTCCCAACCCCTCCCCCCCCTAAGAACAGCGCCTCAAAATGTGAATTTTCGTTTTGCTTATCTCTTTTCCCTCATACATACCCGCTGTAGAACTATAAATTGGGGTAACAAATAGGGACCAAGAAAGATAGGGTTTCAGCAGTTTATCACTTTTTGGGACGCGGCATGCATTCTACTTCCATTCACTATCACAGTAGGCTATTGAATCTATGTGACCTGTACAATACCTGTACCTGCGGGGGCCAACCGGTGTACAAATCAGCGTTTTTATCCTCTTAGACGAATCTGGTACCAGTTTACCTTTCGCGGAAGGTAGAAGACTTGGTTGGCCTGTAAACGTACCAAATAGGGGAATGCAGAGGTTTGAAGCGGAAGTCCTCAAAATTCAACCCATCTGGTGTAACCATCGCTGTGGAGTTCATGTCGGATGATATCTAGCCACCAAGGAGGAGGGCTCGTATTTGGCCTGGAAAGAATTTTTCACTTGCCTTTTCTGGCTTCAAATGCGCTACATTCCCCCTGTCGTGTGTAATTTCACAATTTTACCATACTTGGCGTTTGACCAGATTTTTTCCCTACCCTCCTAGACCGGTACCAGCGCTGGATTCCCGAAAACAACTTGAAAACGCTTTATTTTGTGCTGGTGGTCACCCTGGGAATGTTCAAAGAAATGTGTTCTCTGACTGAACGAATGAATTCTGTAAATGTCCAACTGTTCAGGTTTCGTGAGGAACTTGGCGCTGGACCAAACACCTATGAAAGACTTCGGCACAACTCGATTAGGCGACGACTGACAAAGGTTTGTTAGCACCTAGCACAGATCTTTGCATTCTAGTCAGGTGACGCCCACAGTATGCGATTATCATTAAGGCCGTTTTAACGATTCAAATCGATCTGACTTGACCAAAGGTGTGTCCTGATCGAACTATTGAGAGTCGGTATCTTCGGAAGGCGCTGTAGCGGCTATATTTGCCCGGTATAGGTACGGGGCTCCTTTTTGGGAGAGAGAGAGAGAGAGAGAGAGAAAGTCGGCGGCAGCTTGATGTCGAATTGAAAGCAATGATAGCATGTCAGCAGAATTCTCGTAGCTTTAGGAAGAGATACTTCTCTGCAAGAATTCAGGTCCCTGGCAGTTGGAGCAGCTCCAAGTGCCAGCTCCAATTGCTCCTTGTCGGGGCAACCGCTTTGTACTCACAGCCGGCTGTGTCTACGTCCTTAACTCGTCAGAGATCCGTTCGACTTTTCTGATGCAAGACATTGTACATCATTTTCTATTCCAGCCGCTTGCAGCCCGTGTTGCGGCGTTGTTGAATCAATGGTGCGGACGCCGTCGCCTTTCCACACCCTGCATCATCGCGACCAAGCCGGTAAACCGAATTACCTGAATCACCCGGACCGCTTCAGTTCCTCGTGTGTCCAATGCGGTGTATCCAGCCAGTGATGGCGCCGTCGACGACTTTCAAAGTGTCTCCACTGATCGACACACTCTCTCGGGGATGTTCACGCTCAGCGGCCTGATTTAGCGCTCCATCGTCCACACCCAGTCGTTTTTCACTATCGCCCCGTGCAACGACATCGCGACGCCGATGGAGTCGACGACAACCCGACAAAGACCACCACACCCTGTTCGACATCAGAACGACTACGGTAGTCGACGTTTATGGGCGGACCCCCATCAAAGGACACATTACACACGACACCTGTTGCACACTCACACACCATCTCAGATGGCACTAGACTTGAATGAATCCGGCAGGTTACAATACTCCTGTGAAACACGTGGTTAATGGTAACGGCTGGAAGATGCTGTGCGAAATGACATCAAGCACTTTGGAGTACTCGAACGCGCGTCGCACTTTGTGATCCGCCGGACGGCTCATCCACCGGTGATCGCGATTGAAGTTCTTTGACAGAAACACGTCGACTATTAATTCAATTTCAGGCGGGAAATCGTTAATTATCGTTTTCCACTGTAACAGAACAGTGCTGGTCTGGTAGTTGATAGAAGCCATCCTAGAAAGGAATGGATCTCGTATTGAGACTGAAAAGTTAGTTGTTTTGAGAGTGCTGAAAAAGTAAATCATTGGCATATACGATTTGATACACCTTGGCTTTTTCACCAGAGTCCGGCAGTCGATATATACCTGTCATGAGGCGCAGTTTGACGACGGGGGGGGGGGCCATTTTTGTAGCACCTGGTTCTTTGAAAACAGTGTACATCATCGCTGTGGAATTCATGAGAGGGGTCGCGTTCAGTGAAAAAAAATTCGAAAAGGAAAAGGAAAAAGAAAAATATAGAGGGAATTTCTGGCCCAGTGGAGTTTTTCCAGGTATCGGTTTCGCTTCGTTGGCGTGGACATCTCAAGTTTGGCCGTGTCGTGTCCTCCCGCCAGCTGCCTCGTATTAATCCTAGAGAGGAAATTCGACCTGGTTCATATAATTTTACGCATAGTTGGTTATCTGCTGGTCCAGTGGTGTTCCTGGCTCCTGTCCTATGACGTCTGCTCACCATTGGGCAAACGCTGGAAACGGGGGAAGAGGAGTCGTGGTCGCAATGGAGAGAGATCTCCCACATCTTCACATGATGTACACTGACTGGGAGTTTGGGAAACTGCTCATGTACCCTCAAAGAGGAGAAGGTTCTATGACACATCATGCTCCCTTTCCGCGGGCTGCGTCACTATCTTTGGCTCAATCAGGCTTTGTTGTAAGAAATTCGCACCAAAGGCAAGCCCAGGCGCATCCGTGCAGAAAAGAGAAGGCTTGGTTGACTCAAGTGGGACGTGGACGTCTACAGGAAGTTGGGCGCGGAAATCGATGCCATGCGTAATCTGCATTTTGTAAACTAGATGCCGCTAAACATTGTGGCGTCCCCTATGCGCGATGATTAAAACTGATAAATAAATCTAAAGTATAGTAAATTAAATAAATGGAACAATGCGACTTGCGCTTAACTCTTATGATGTTCTTTAGCCTCTTAACGAGGAGAGTCCTCTCCCAAAGCTTGTTACAAATCTCTAAAAAACGACGTTTTCAGGTCGATAGCAACGACGATTCAGGCCGAGCTACGACTTCTTCTGAAGCCTCATCCGTATGCGATTTCCCTGTCGACGATGAACCTACCGGTGAGAAAAGTTTTTTCATTGTTTTTTTATACTTTCTCTTGACAAAGGGAAGACCTTCTCTCTCTGAAACATTGTCAACCAAGGTAGATGGTCGAAGATTAAACGATATCGCATTAGCCTTGAACATTCCACAGCCGACACTCCCAGCAGGCGCTTTAGAAAACTATGCGTCGCTCGATTCAGTAAATCGGAGAGTTCAAGGACATGGGAGGGATTTTACACGAATGTTTTCGAGTTTCGAGTTTTCAACGGTCTAATTTTAGCTTTTTTACCCTACCGTAGTCGACTGCCGTTTGGTTCTACACAATCGGTATTCGACCAAAATGATTTTTCAACGATTTCCGCACGTTTGGAACATATCAAGCAGGAATTCTTTGCCGGAACCGATAGTGAGTTCAACAAGGAAGCACTGAATGCGACTAAACAGATCTATTATTTCTCTTACAGAGCCCTATGCCTCGATGTCCGGATTTCAAACTCCCACTACAGCTCTTGGGGCTGCCATGCAAGACTTGAATATGAAAAGTATGTTCACTGCAAATCTTCAAAATTCGAATGAAATTACCTCAGGACTATCCTTTAAAAAAAATCAGTGTTTAATGGGATTATAATCTACCATATGCCACACCTCGATGGTGTAAATTGGAAATTGGCACTCAATACGGCTTTCCTATGTAGTGCGCCCCGCCATTTACTAGGTAAGAGCAGTCGCTGCCAATCATGAAGCGCTCTTCGATGTACCGAAGTTTTCGTGAGACTATACCCTGAATGCCTCAAATAAAGAGACAGATTAGTTATAGGAGGATTAAATCTCCACCCCAGATGTTTCCGCCCTTGCACGCATTCTACCATTCAGAATCGTAGTGGCTTATTGAATGCGATGTGGCCTATACAATGACTTGCGGGGCCAGCCGATGTACAAGTCAGTGTTTTATCCTCCCAGACGAATCTGGTACCAATTTACCGTCCCCGGAGGGTAGAAGGCTTGGCTTGGCCTGGGAAGCAGCCAGTCCGAGATTTGACCCCCGGACCGCGCGCCTTCCCCTCAAATAGAGGACATATTTATTTTTTGAGCTGTATATACCTCACGTTTACGTAATCAAAGCTGAGGAAGTTACGCAAATTTTGCAGCGTGCGTTTGTTTCACGATTGAGGGCATACAAAACAATTGCTGTCTGGAACCTTAACGTTTTTGATGCTGATGCCATGAAACGATTCCTTGAGACAGGAGCTGCGTGCCGACATGGCCGCACTTTCCCCTATAAAGCAGTGCCGGCCTCAGGCTGAAACTGTAATCATTATTACTAGCTTAGATTAATATATTTAGATTTGAAAAGCTACAGGTTTCTTATTTGATTTTTTTATGGTGACAATTGCAGTTAATCTCGGTTTCCAGGTGCATTCGCTCCCGTGTCTCCTAAGACCCGCCTCAGTCATCATCGTGGACTACCTCAAAGAAGCGGCTACAGAATTTCCGATCTGCTCCATGTAAGTGAAGTTTTTGAAAGTGAAGTTTGAAGTGCAACTACAATTTGTGGTGGTGGCAAAAATTGGACCGTCCACATCGGGTTTGAAACGCGTGCGCAGGTTCGTGA